TATTTTATCATACAGCATCATTATCAATTAACAGTAACCTATCGGTACTTATCCATAACACTAGGTTATACTTACTTTCCATCTCATAAAGACGAAATCTATATTATCCAGCTGAGAATAGTCAAAGCTGTCCGAGTTGAAAGTTTTTGCAAATTGATAAAAAGCCAGGAATTTTCCCTGTCAATGAACAAAATATCTATCATAAGGGGGAAAACAACAAACAGCTTCAATGACACAATTTGGGGTTRGCATGCCACAAGGGTCTAAGTTGGGACCACTGGATTCATTAAATTTTACCCAATGTTTTCTGTCCACATCTTCATCAGCATCCTTATGATTGAAAAGAAAAAGATAAATTCATTAATAAGAATTGATAATAACTAGAGGTTCCCACTATTGGGGACTGTAGGTGTGTTGAATACATCAGGTGAAACTTATAAACACGGCGTAAAAAAACTTTMCAACTGTACTACTAATGAATCTAAAATACACCTTTCATATTTTTTMCACTTATTTTACATGATTCAAAAGATAATAATGAAGTTTCTCCAAAAATCTATTGTAGACTGAAATCCATATATCTGTGAAATAGAATGAAAACTAAATAGCACTTAACACATCTATTTCTTTTGTTTTCAAATTATTGTTTCATTGGTGCTWTTTTGTACTAATTAGTTAGTACTATTTCATGGATATATGTTTKGCACTCTTTACGGTACTCAAATTTAGAAGTCTTGCAGTGTTTGTTGCAACCTACCCATTTCCTTGTCAGGAAAGGATGTTTCCTTCCTATAACTTCTCCATCAAAATATGTCGTCAATGTAGGAAATTCCTGTGTGAAACATCAAAGAGAAATTTGGGCTGGTTAAACGAAATTGTCAAATGGTTGAAAAGAAAGTTGATCCTTTATTAGTTATATTCCATTTCATTGTTCGATATCTGTGATTTTATGCCAGAGTCTGAGTCTAAGCAAACATGACAAAGAAAATGTGTAACTTTCTGCAAAAAAGTTTCACCATTACAAAACTGGTTGCTATGAGACATGGAAGTTAGGCTGCATTCATAATGTATGGCAGAGGGGGGGGGGGGGGGGGGGAATTGAGGGGCGATTGGGAAAATTTTGGTGGGAAAAAGGGGGGGATGGGCAAATTTTTATCAGAAAAATGGTGGGGATGCACAATTTTTGGAAGAAGCTACAAGCCTTGCTTAGCTATAGGGGGGATCATATTTTTTTGCATGACTTTAAGGGGGGGTGTTAAGAATTACTGTGGACATTTCAAATTTTCACCTGCCCCTCCCCCTTGCCATACACTATGAATGCAGCCTTACTTCCTTCAGCTTTAAATTAGTTAATATATTAATTAATAATTTGTATCGTAATGTTCAAAATATAAAATGATTAACAGTCCTAGCAATTAGTGAGACTAATATAACAGATTTAAAAATTTGTTAAAAAATGATACAAAATTTATCTTCAACAAATCTTGCTTTCTAATTGGTTTAGGTATGTGCATCATAATGACACACAACATGTTTGCACATTTTTTCTTTTGTTTAACTTATTCCCATTCATTTCCTTTCCATTTCTTTATTCTCTCTTTATTCTTTTTTTGAAAAGGGATGATTTTGAAATATATATGAATTTGTGAAGAAAATTAATGCATACCAGTGAAGGTTTGTGGAATTCCAAAGTGCTTGTATTGTTGAAGTTGCAATTATTTACTTTACAGTAACTGTTGTTATATATATATATTTAAATATTCTGAAGTTGGATATTGAGGCAAATCCTGAGTAAACACACAGTGACTGTWATTCAAGGAACACTGTGCTATTTCACAACTCTAAAAACTATTTTGGGTAAYAAGGATTTTGATAGAGTGCACGCACTAAATCCGTGAACATTAATTAGTACTAATTAGTACTATTTCATACAGAATCCTTTSTTTTCTATTGTTTAATTATCACTATTTAGTACTAAAAGTTAGTATTTGTTTCATGGGTTTAGTGCGTGATTAAGATTAAAAAAGATTAAAGATTAAGATTAAAGATTAAGATTAAACAAGATAAAGAATAAGGAATCTTTCTCACACTATATAAACATATAAAAAAAACTTTTATATTTATTGTCTATCTATTTATGTTTACATCATTGAATCAATATTTTTGATCACTAATGAAATACTGGAATTTTCCCTCCAAAAACCATTAACGTATCTTACAAACTTCTAGAGGTTTCCAAAACATTTTTCAAATTTTTGTGATTAAATAAACATAAATTATTTGAAGTACRAGTCAATCATTTCCCATTAAAAGAAAATGAAAATTTATAAATCATAGTAAGCTTATATTCAAAAACTTAACGTTAATATAATTTTTGTACAAATCTTAATTTGTACTTAAATTCATAGTACAAAACTACGAGCTTATTTAATATTATTTATGAACTATGAGAACTTTATGTATATAAAACGAACCTGGATAAAACTATTTGAAATTTAGGTTTTGTCACTAAATTAATCTTTAGTTTACAGACGTGAATTTATTTAAAAACTTTTAATTTTTACTAAAATAAGACTCAGGCTTTGACAAATTGTACTCTTTTTCGTTTAAGATCAAATTCACCTCACCTCTGTTAACTCTTTTATCTTTAGATATCCACAGAGGAAGGCATTCTCGTCGTCCACATGCTGTATAAATGTATAAATTATGTTGCTCATGATATATTCGTGAAGTTTGAAAGTTTGCTAGTGAAAAAATACTTTGGGAAGAAGTTAAAGATGACAGAAGTCAAACAAGACACGACCCACACGAACCTGTAATACAACTTCTACATCGTAACGATTTCCTTTACTTTTTTGATGTCCTTGGAATCTAGAACCACTGTAGAGTAAGGATTGAGCAAGACCGGGTTGTTTAGTGCTGGGAGGAAGAGGATTTGCAGCCACTTTTCCCGGCATTTTTTCGTCTTCCTTCGCAGTTTTTACAACAAATCTTTTGAAAGAACCTCCTCCTCTAGGGATTATGGGTAATGCTATTTGACACGTGACCTGDAGAAGACGTCACGCGATGCAACCACAGGACACCCAATCTCGATATGGTCATCGTTTCTCTTCTCTTTTATTCAATTTATTTTTCTTTCCTTAATTCGTSATGTATTCTGATTGACTTCCTATTCATCTACTTCCTTTTTCCTTTCATCTTTTATTACTTTCCTCTCTTCCTTTCCGCCTTTCTTATCTTTCAATTCTTTTCTTTTCTCTTTCTCTTCTTTTTTCTTTCTTTCTCTTATACATGCACTTCTTTCTTTGACCAAAAAATTTAAGTAAAACAAAATAAACGCAATACCGAGAATACTGTGCACATTTGGGTTGAGTATCAACCTGAATAAGCACATTCTATGGGCATTACGCATATTGTTTTACCTTTTCTTTTTCAAATTCACCTCACACACTACACGCAGGAACATAAAAGAACAACTCAGCATGCTAAAATGATAAAATAAATAAGATTCCTGTTTTTTATCTATCTATTGTCTTTTTACAAGGCGTAGGTCTTCAATAAAAGAATAAAAACCAAGAAACAATGCAAAATATGCAGTTTAGTACTATCATTTATTTCATTTTTCTTGGTTTCTCCTGTTTCTTCTCTCTTCTCTATCATACATTCAATAAAACAACTTTCGTTTAAAAACGCACATTCAGCTTTCAGCATAATAMCTTGCGTGCGAGATATCATGTTCTTGATGTTAAAAATCCTTCAATAATACTTTACGATGTCATATACTTATAAGTTCTCCATTGCGTGATAACTACTTAAGCCAAGTCGATCTTATCCGAATGAGAAACTTTCAACCTTTCCTACTTCGTTTCTAACTCAACAGTTTTTGCGTTCTAGGGGTGTTAACGTATATAACTTATTCCACTCAAGTACGTTCCCCTGTATTTTTATGCTAACTTGTGGTTGTAGACGCATGCTTCGTATGAGTCGTACCGCTGACTTCTTCTTTCCCTCTATCACGTGAACCATGAGTATGAGCTCTCCCAGTCCCCCGGTGCTTAATTTTTCCAGCGACCTGTGGGGGTGGGTGTGCGTCAGGGTCTGTTCTAAGTATGGTCCCAACAGCTTTTGTTCTTCCTTCTCTAAAAATCATTCGGGTGTTTAGCTTTAGGTATTCTGGGTGTTTGATGAAACGGAATGTTACTGTCGCTTTGTCGCCGGTTCGCAAATGAGGTTGGCTCATCCTGATGATGGTTGCCGTTTGACGTAGACTGCCACAGTGAACTGGGAACGAGAAATGAGAACGAGGTCAAGGTCAAGAGCTAAAATCTATCATGGCAAGGCTTACTAGAGAATGATGATGATGGTGATGATGATGATGATGAAGATGCGCATCATTATCATCTCTTATCTCCATCATCAATGTCATCATCATTGATATCAAAGTCGTCATCGCCATCAACATCGACAACATTATTATCATCATAATCGTCATCATCAATTTTAATATCTATATCTTCATTGTGGTCATCATCATCATCATCATAATCATCGTTACCGTTTGTTTCATCTTTGTAAATCAATGTGGTCATCATCATCATCATCACCACTGTCATCATCTAATCATGAATGTTACCACCACCCCTACCACCATCATTATCTGACATCACTTACTCATTGCTTGGTATTTACAGCTGATTGTAGTTGGATGGTGAAGAACCAGCACCTCTGCCTGAAACTCCCAACACGACTGAGGTTTGAGCCGYTTATCGACCATCACCATGCCCTTGCGAATCTGCGATCGCTTGATCTWCAATCAGAAAAAGGAAATGTTTCCAACTTAGACAAAGTTTACAAGGATAGGATACGTATTTGGTTTGGTTTCGAAATCTTCTGGATCCATGGCTTTGATATATACAAATCAGGGAATCAAGGATAGMGTAGYGATAGTGCACTTYCTTCTCACCTCTGTGCGATTCCTGGAACCCACATTAACCTGAGTATCAGGCTCTTTTTTTCCCCTTCTAACACGCTAAATGCAAATTCACTCTGTGAGTTAGCCGTGCCCTGACTTTGATCAACCCAGAGGTTGTTTCAGGGTTCAATCTGTGAGTTAGCCATGCCCTGGCTTAGATAAGCCAAGAGGTTGTTGAAGCCTCGTATCTTTCAACAATGTTTGAAAACAACTGACCTTTTTCAAAGAGAACGAAGCCGTCTGCCCTCCGCGGACCTCTTTCACTGGCATTCGTTTTCTGTGGATGCTCCTGATAGCAATAGGTTGAAACTGACCAAGAGGGTCTGGGCCTAGGAGCATTGTGTCGTTCAACCGGATGATCCCTTGCATACATGTCCCTGATATCACGGTCCCTACGCCCTGTAAACAGAGGGCAGTGTTAATAAACTTGGGCGTAATGTTTACCCATTTCAGACCACGTGTCATTCTCTCAGGAATAAAATTCTTTCTTTGAGTTGTATCCATTTTCATGTGTCTTCTCGTGCGCAACCGTTAAACAAAGAAATGATACTCTAGGGAATGACACGTGGTCTAAATTAGGAAAATATTATGTCAAGGAAAAGAAGTATCTTTGGCTGCCATATTGGAATAAAAGATAAGAAACGGTTACTCGTGAAAACATAAAAATTAAAAAAAAAAAAAAAAAATTCGTTGGATGTTGGATGTTACGAAAAAAAACCAATGATATTCAAGAAGGCGACTACGACAATAACGACAGTAAAACAAAAAAATTCAATAAAAATAAGATTAAACAACGTAGTCTTACTGGAACAGAGTAGGTATCATCTATCTGGAATTCTGCTGGCTCTTCGTCACGACTTTCTGTTCTGACGCTCAGCAGRTTCATAAACATCTTCAACAAGTCAAGATTTTCTCCTGTGACGTTTGAAACTTGGAAGATAGGACAAACYCTACGATAGGAAAGACAAAAATRACTAGCGATTAATTTAACGTARRGTACAGACAGTAAACGGTACGCYATGGCGTAACATTRAATTGGCTTTTCATACAGCGGTTTACAGTACKGWCTGTACACGGTACGACATGCCGTTACATTAAAATGGCTTSCCATACAACGGTTTTCGTACGAGTGGAAAACTTAACACTCATAAAATGGATCTCCATCGTCTTCCAGTAATTCATCCAATCACGACGCGTATTCACGGTTACGGTAAGATGGCGTACGACTTTGCTTCATCGTTTCCCACTCATACGAAAACCACTGTATAAAATGAATGTTTGACCAATACATTGGTCTATTAAACATGACTAAGTAGAATCCACACATACTTTTCTGACATGAAATTCGTTGCTGATACAACCACATCATCGCTGTTTTGCACTATAACGGGTATCTTACGACAACCAGGGGATTTTAGAATTCTTGACAAGAGTTTCATTGTTTCTTGTAGCACATTTGGTGGACACATGTCTATTTTGGTCACAACAACGAATACTGGTACGTTTAGAGCTAAAGCAAGACCGAGATGTTCTGTGAAGAAAAGGGCAGAATTGTAAACATTCCTTTAAGGTGAGTTCTAAGAAAACTAATAACTGAGGAAGCGTGAAAGCAACTACGAAGGAGAAATGAAAAGAAGGAAAGAGAAGAGAGCAAGGGAGAGAAAAAAAAGGAGATGATGAAAGCAGGAAAAAAAACAAGGGAGAAAGAGAGGAAGGAAGGAAACGAAGGAAGGAATGAAGGAAGAAATGAAGGAAGGAACGTAAGAAAGAATATAGGAAGGAACGAAGGTAGGAACGAAGGAAGGGACAAGTAAGGAACGAAGTAAGGAACGAAGGAACAAAGGCAGGAAGGAAGACAAAGGAAGACTGAAGGAAGACAGAATCTATGTAGACACACAGGGAGTGATTAAAAAAAGAAATAAAAAGTGTACGCAATTTTTGAAGGAAAACTGATAATGACTGATGACAATGTTCTCTCATATTTAGTGACAGCTCTACAAACTCTACCTTTAGTCATTCCAATGATTCCAGCATTGGACCCAACCATAAGCATTGCAAAATCTGGTACATGACCAGTCATGCCGAATATTGTTGTTTTTARGTACTTCTCATGACCAGCAAGATCAATAAATGTTATAACCTGTGCAACAATGCGTGAGTAACAGGTTAGTAAAATCAAATACTTTCGAAATTCTATTAGACAATACTTTTGAGGAGAATAGTTAAGGAAATCAAGGATAAAAAATAGTTAAGGTAATCAGGTCCTTTCCTTAATTCAAGGGTGTTTGTCCAGGTTCTCTCAGGGGTTGTTTCAAGGGAGTTGATAAAGACAAACAAAAGAAAGGATAGATGGATTACTTTAAGGGAYGTTGGATGGAATGGGACTTGATGAATGAAGGATTGCATCAATTGTTTGAGGGTAAGAGAAAGAAAGAATGGAGGGAAAAAAGAATAAACAGGAGAGAATGGAAAATGAAGGCATGATTTATTGTTGAGATATAAATATCTTTTACCTTTGAAGATTTCTTACAGATTCTTAACCAATCTTGTCCACCTCCTTCAAGATACAAAAGTCTGATTAATATCAAGATTAAGGTACTCTATATCATTTCTATTAATAATAATTTCTAGTAATAATTATTAATAGTAAGAAAAACAAAATCTTGGCATCTGAAGTGAGCGATTATTAACTCACCATGTACTTCTGGYTTATTCATAACKTTTCCCTCTCCATCGAAGCCTARAATATCRTTCCCAACACTACTGGTTCTTCCTGATTCCATTTCATGTTTGTGACGGAATAACCTCTGCCGAGCCATGCCACGCCCATTGTCTAATTCACCATGGGTTAGTACACCCAGTAAYGTACTCTTTCCTGCATCAACATTGCCAACCACTGCCACTCTAAAATAAATGTCAATTATCAATASGTATGTAGTTCCAGAAAATATCCATACTTCTCTCATGGAGGAGGGTTGGAATTTCTATGGGGTGGGGATTAAGGTTTGAGCGGTGTATATTGTGTCATTCCAGAAAATATCTATATTTCCCATTCATTCTTTCAACCATTTTTCATTTACCTGACTTCCATAAAGTCATTCTCTTCCAATTTTTTCCTTATTAAAAACTCTCCCACTTTTCCTTGTTCAGCATTTTTCTCTCTTAGTAGGACCATATCAGCATTGCAGCACTGTGCAAGAGTCTTGAGTGTTGCTACAGATGCTTCGTAATCCTCTTTATTAAGACCACTGCTTGTTCCATCTTCAAACAAAAGGAAATTTAATTTGGTATATTTATGCTATATGTGATACTAATCTTCCATTTCACAAATTATTGCAATTATTGCACATATTATCTTCTCCTTCCTTATTCCATTCTGTTGGATTGATTGCAAACTACACAAAAAAAAGAACCTGGAATATTTCACACTTTTTGATTTTCTGTAAATTTTACCTCCTGCTCCGACTTCAAAGATTGTCTCTCCATGTCCATTGTCTAGTCTTTGATTTAGTTTCTTTAACAACTGATCAAACTGTATTTCATCTGGAGAAACAAGTGCCAACTAAAAGGAAATAAGTAGTAGTAGTACTTAATGTGAATACTTTTTTACAAAATAAGATATATCTAGTAGGAACTAGTATTAAATTATCAATAATAATAGTAGGAGATGTACTAGTAGTAGTTATAATGACAAGTGACAGTAATAAACTTTTTTTTGCCTACCCTTGGATCGTGAAGATCATTAACACCATTAGTTTCTTCATCATAAAATATTCCTTGGTCAGAATCAGGAGCAAAGAGATTGGAAGCTCCATTTTGTAAGTGATTGAGTTCATTCTTTTCTGGTAGCACTCCAGAGGAGAGTTTTTCTTGCACGTTGATGGATTCTGCTGCGGCACTCATTCTTGCTATTTATTCCTTGAAAATGTGAAAGAAAATATAAGTTAGCTAACTAGTTTTGACTACAAAGTCTCTGAAGAGAGGAAAATGCAATTATGAAACAAGTGCTTTAAATCATAAAAAAGATATGAAGGAAAAATTAAAAGACTAAAATTGACCCATGGCTGATGCAATATGCAGTAAAAACATTAAGAAAAAAATCATGATTAGAAAACACAAATAGCTTTAAGTCAAAAAACAATTTTTCCACTAAATACTAGCTGTTTCTTTTCTACCTGATAAATTTTAGGATTTTTTAGGAAAACTWGATTCCAGTAGTCATTATCTTGAAGCGAGGATATTTGATCTACGYTCAGTTGTTATTAGATCCTAATGCTGAACTTCTTAAGAGACTATGAAATTTAAAGACTAGATGTCACAAAAATTTTAAATGGTTGCAYCATCTGACAGAAGAGAAAGACTGGGAATAGTTAGAATTTATTTACATTTTAAATTAAAATTTACATATGCGGCCAACCATGAACAATTTTTTACACGTTTTTTTGTCAAAGATAACAAAAGTGGTTTCCAATAATGATGGTTTGATTACATTATTTTACATCAATAATTTGGGAATCATTTTGAATTCYTTCAACTTTCTTAAATCATGATATATATTTTAACTTTTCATATAGCCTTACAGGAAATTATTTCTAGGTTCAAGCAAGATACATTTTRAGATAAAATAACGGAGTTACCGTAGTTCTATAGAATAAATCCCGATTTGTATCTCCACGTAAAATTTTCTGTTTATTTGTCCAGGATTTTCAGAAAAAGAGTTTTTTGAAAAGATTTTTTCGTTTTACATTATGTTTATAAACAGTGTTATCAGACAACAACATTTAGGATTGAGGGATTGGTTTTAATACAAAGATTAGCTTGATAACGTTAACGTTTATGTAAAATAAATCATGRAGAAAAGAGTAAACTTTATATTTGCATTTAAATCAAGTAGCCTACGTGGTGTTTTCAAGAACACCGGGCATAATGGCACATTTACCACGCCTAAGAAACTAAAAAATACACCATAGCAAACCTACCTCAGTAAAAACCCTTTCCATAGAACAGAAAGCAAGATCGGAATGGATATCGTAGAGAAATATGGAGAAAAACTGCACAAAAGGAGCAAAAAATGAGAACAAATCTTTTTAGTGTTAAAATTTTTGAAGCGATCTTGAGTGTTTTTTGTTTTCCTCTCCACGCAATCCTCTTGACGAGATCTCGAGGTCCTGGTTAGATACTGGGATAGTTAGGTGTCCTGTGATGTAAGATCCGAATCAAAACAATAACAGATCGTGGATTTACGAGGAATATTTAGTTGTTTCATCAGCAGCGGCCTTGATGTTCCTTTGGGTAACGCGCAGGTCTGATCCTGGAGACTGGGAATAATAAATCTCTTGTACCCAGTACTATACTTAAACCAACATTCCTCTTATCACTTATTTAACTCAAGAAAAAAATCTTCAAACCTCCTTCTTAGATATCATTTTATCTATTAATACTATAATTCTAATTTAAAGTAATTTTTTGGTGAAATAATTCAATAATTTGTTTTCATAAGTGCTCGGTCAAGCTTGACCGAGTCCTTGAGGACTAGTTTTATGAACAGCGGATTTCTTTACCAGCAAAACAAAATGGCRRTAGGTTTGTATAAAATYGTTCAAACTCTTATCCCCTTTCTWTTATTTTTATACGAACAGAAGCCATTGAAAAGCGTAGAAAACTGCAAAAGTAGCTAGATGAATCCTTGCTTTTGCAAACTTGGTGGTCTAAGATAGACTCAAGATGGCGGAACAAAAAATTTATCACGAAAAACAAAGCAGGATGATGTGTGCTGTTCATGCTCTGAATAACCTTCTTCAGGACCCGAGCGCCTTCACTAAGGCATCTATGGACAATATCTGCTACAATTTGAGTCCTGATACTTATATTAATCCTCATAAGAATCCTCTAGGTTTGGGGAACTACGATGTGAACGTCCTGATGGCAGCTTTGTCTTTGAAAGACTATGAAACTATTTGGTTTGATAAGAGAATGTAAGTATCCCCCTCCCACCCCCCCTCCCGGAATTCCTTACCATTTCGTTTGAAGGGAGGAGGACTGGTTGAGGGGAAAGAGGGCTGAAATACAGATTAAGGACTGTGCACAAACCTAAAAAGTGAGGGGAGTGTAGTTGGGGGGGGGGGAGCTAAGATTGGAAAATATAAGAAACTAATATGGGAAAAAGTGGGAAGCTAAATTTGGAAAATATRAAAGACTAGTATAGGAAAAGTGTAAAGGGGTGGAGGGGGGAGAGACTATAGCATGGTTAACTTACAGATTAATTWGGAATTTAGTGTGTTGGGTTTTGTGGAGGGAGGAAAAAAAAAGAACCAACAGAAAAACCCTCRAATCAAATGAGAGTCAAGGAATTGAACCCTAGAGGYAAGAGGCAATACTGCTTTATCACCATTGATTTCTATATTTCATTTCTGTTTTATTTTAGATCTCCTAACTTACTATACTTTGAAAAAATCTTTGGGTTTATAATAAACAAGCCATYCAGCATGAACATAGTTGGTATGAGTCTGCCGATCAAAAGGCCTCACTGGTTTGCTGTTAGAAAAATAAGTAAAATATTTTATAATCTGGACTCCAAACTTTCTGAGCCAAGTGAAATCGGTCCAGAGGACAGCGATATTGAGAAGTTTTTAGCATCACAAATACAGGATAATTCACAAACAGAAATTTTTATTGTTGTGGAGAAAGAAATTTATGAAAGCAAAGGTTGGAAAAAGAGTGAAAGTTAAAACATTGGAGTTGAAAATCCTATATTTTCTTGGCTGTACAATATAGGGTGTTTGCATGATGGCATCATTTGACTCTCACTACCATAACTCTTAGCACATTTCCTTTCTTATTTAAATCTTTATTCCCTCATGAGAATAGTAAGACAGTTGGTGCTAATAGACGACTTGCACTAACAGGTTATGTGACCCTATCTCACTTAAAACAAGCAGCTGGGTCAAAATGAACATCAGGAATGAAAAGAGYACTTTGATATTATTAGGGTGGCAGAGTTTAAGCTCATAACAAATGAAAAAGGAGAAATAATATTTCAAACACGTGAGAGAGTTCTTCCTTCGATTTCCAAACACTGAAAAGTGAGTTGAAAAAAYGAGGTGCATGAATATTTCTTGGAGAAAATCAAAGAAAAAGTTTATGAAATTTAATGCAAATTAAGAACACATTTCCAAACCACCRTCACAGTAGTGATTTGCTTTGTTTTCTCCTCATTAAATATTCATGAGTTTTAGAATTGGCATTCAATATAAAATCAATTATTTTATAAGGATTTGTATSGGAAAATATGCTCTTTGGAATCCATCACATTTCCCCATACAAATCCTTATAAATATTTAGAAGAAATAACTAGCTAAAAACTATTGTCAGCTGTGTCAATGTTTCTAATGAAACAGTAATGATGAAAGGGTAAATTTTACACCTTGAAAAGATGAAAAAACTTACTGACGTTTCGGACTCTAGTCCTTCGTCACAGTAAATATTTGATAATTTTATATTTAATGCCATTATTTTATTCTATAGTCAAAATTAAGAGCTGMCTGAAACTTCCCTCTCTTACTAATGTTGAGCTGCTTTTTTTATTTCTAAAGTTTGTTTTCACACAACTGCTCACTTTAATGGAYGTAGGGTCACATGACCTGTTAATGCAAGTCGTCTATTAAACTGAACAAAAGAAAGCATGCGAGGGGGTCTGGAAGTGGAGGTCARTGATGCCATCATGCAAATGGCCTGTTCTCTAAATTGTCATGGAATGTTGCTTTTTTTTGCCCATTCTCTAAAAATGGTCTGAAATGTGGTCTGAAATATGAACACATCACACCAAATTGATTTGGTTCATTTATAAACGAAATTTTAGCTCCAGGGTGCTAGTGGGTGACATCATTTGGTCTAATAACACAGGGAAACCATGAAAAGTGATTCTAACATTTTAAACTCAGTAAACACTTATATAAATATAATACAAAGTTAAATATAATACAAAGYTATACATAATGCAGAAATTTTTTTTAATTTTTAATTTTCGCTACGTGTCGTGGTTTCCTACGCTCCTCTCATGTTCTCTCAACATCCCGCATGTTTTGATCAGAGTATCAAACACATTTTGTTTCATAAAATAACAAACTTGCGAAAAGATTGAAAAAAAACAAATTTAAGTAAATTCCTTYTACATGCCGTCTTATTCAAACTGACCAATGAGCGCGTGCTATAGATTAAAATCTGAAAGTTGCAATACTCGCGCACGCTAAAATTACGATAGTGTTTTGATACTCTCATCAAATGTGGTTTTCGACCAATCATAGCGCACGTAGTATCCCAATTATTTTATAATTGGTATTAAAGTATAAAAGAAATTTATTATCCAATTTTCCTTGTCCAAAGTTTGAAAAAAAAAGGGATTATGAATGCTTTTAAAAAATCTYGATTTTAATTATAAAAGCATATTTAGAGGAAATAAAACTTTAAAAGATTCGAATCTAGAAATTTCTTTGATGTTTGAGCGATTTGGGAGTTTGTTTAGCTGGTTGCCATGACAACGTGGCTGCGGGAGATCGCTCGGTAGACATGCGTGGATGGAAGGTTTGATCGCTCAAGGTGCCGTACTCCAGATTACTATATTCTTCAAAGGAAATAATTATCACATAAGAACGTTGACTTTCCTTCTCCAAGACACAATGTAGGCAATGGTTCTATTGTCCTGAGCGTACTTTATTCGATTTTAGCCAGCAAAAATGGCGTCCAAGCTCAAAAAAACGACGACGAAGTCGAAACTCCTTCACAAGTTGTTGCCAACTTCTCGATACCGTGCTGCTAAAAACACGATCTCCTCTTAGCTTACCTTAAATACTTCACACTCTACTATGCCGTTTAAAGAAACTACACATACTCAAAACCTAGTGGTAAGTTAAGAAAATTTATTCCGCTCACTTGTTTTGCTAAACTTCGACCTTAAAAATCGCGATTTGAACTTGAATTTCATTTGAAAACCAAAACAACGTCTTGTTTTTAATTCTGGATCTTTCTGTTTTGTTAGGTTGCCCTGAGAGTCAGACCTTTAAGTTCTTCAGAGCTCGGAGAACCAGAAATTATTCATGTACTCGATGAAAACGTAAGTAAAATTTTAATTTTTTTGCCAAAATGATATCAGTTTACCAACATTAAATTACACAAAGTTAAACTTTTAAACTTCGACATCATGAATCTTCCGTAAAAACACCTCTAAAAATTGTTCTATACCTGAGTCTTCTAATATTAAAATAACCCCTTTATTTTTGAAAGTCAATAATGAAATACTATAAGTCCTGCTTTGTTTGGTTTTTAGCAAGTCTAAAGAGCTGTATATATTTCAAGGCATATTCATTACTAGACATTATTCTGCTTATAGTCTATTAGCAAAGGTTTTATTTTTCGGTGTAACTGAAGTGTTTTCAGGCTATTTTTTACTATAATTAACCATTATTACTTGTTTGATCTAGTAGCGGTATCTTTTAGCATTGCAAGGTTGATAATTTTGTTTTGTTTCCTTAAAATGGCCTGAAAAAATTAACAACTTGGATACTTATTGTCAATATTTTTTTGAAATTATCTATTGTTTTGGTTTCCTAAGATATTGTGTTCTAACGATATTCATAATGACGAAGGCATTTCTTAGCAACTTCTGCTACTATTCATTATTTCAGATGCTTATTTGAATTCCTTGTCAACTTATTTTTAAAGTGTTTTCCAAGTATTCCTGCCAGCATTCATTGAAATATTAATATTTTCAAAATATGATCATTAGAATTCCTCAGTCTTTGAATAATTATGTAAGGATTAGATATGCATGATTTATGCTTTAAATTTTTTCAATCTCTTAGAATGAGTGCGGCAAATTTGTTCCAATGTTTGGCAAAGGTTTTGAAGCCCCTCTGAATAACGAGGGCATTACGCCCACCCATCTCCCCCCCCAATTAAAATCTGTATACTAAATGTATATTATGAGTATAGCTACCTGTTTTGTTATGCTTAAAAATATTTTTAGTGCCAAAAGAAACATTAGCATTTGTGTTTATCAAAATACCAATCCAAATGAGCTGATTTTGCAGCAAAAATTTTCATTCTTTCCATTATTATGTTAATTTGTAAGCCTTGTTTATGTTTTAAGCTATTTAATATTTTAGTAGGTAAAAGTAGGCCTCAGGGGTGGAAAACATAAAACAAAATAATATTTCTAAATGCAAAAGAAAATATCTCTGAACCAGTTACTAGCTTGGATAAGTAAATAACTTATCTACTATTATCATAAATTGTTATAAGTTGTAACTTATGGATATGACGTGTACTGCAACAAAAAGGTTTTCCTCCCTCCATTAAACACAATGTCTGAGGTGATTGTTTTTATGTGGTGAAAACCTCGTAGAAGAGCCCCTTACATGAGGGTGCGACAGTTGTAAAGGTACTATAAAATGGTACTTGAGACAGACCTGAGAAGCAAAGTTTTCTTTAAAAAATTCAAATTTTTTTTCAATCCTGAATAACTTCTAGGATGATGATACATAGCAGTTATTAGTTTGGAACTGAGTTGGTGTGTTGAATACATCAAGTAAATAAAAAGTGTTGAAGTGTCCTTTATTCAGTGTTGAAATGTCCTTCTTATTTCCTTGCTGTATAACCTCTTGGTTGGTCATGGATGTACAAGTAACTCATAGATTGAACTGGAATTATTTTTGTCCTATTAGTTGGTGGTGTTACGAGACCCATATGAGGATCAAGATGACATTCTCAGGGCAAACCGTTCAAGAGAGAAACAGTATGTTTTTGACCATGCTTTTGGACCAAACGCTAGCCAGGTTCGTAAACAATTCTTCTCATACATACCGTGCCAGTATTAACATTTATTTATGATCATTACAAGGTATGATCAAGTTAGGATTYTTAAAAACAAACCCTTATCAGACCCTCCACATCCCTTGGAAATTACTATCCCCAATCATGGAGAGCTATGGATTTTATCTGATGATATAATATATACAAAATATCTTCTCACCCCAACCCTGGGGAATTCCAATCCCCTCCATGGGAGAGGTATATACATTGTGCGGTACTACATAATGTACACTTCTCAGACCAGCCCAAACCTTGGGAAATTCCAATCCCCCTTCATAATGGAGGTATAAACATTTTCTGGAACTACATACATTAGCTTATTGTAAATAATTTGTATTGATATTGATATTTSATGTAAGCATGAATATTAGTATTTGCTATACCTTTATTAAAACTTTTAAAACCTAAACTTTTTCATCTTTTCCAAAGGTTGATGTGTTCAGTGTGACAACAAAGCCACTGATACACAACGTYGTATCAGGGTATAATGCCACAGTGTTCGCATATGGGGCCACTGGTGCTGGGAAGACCTATACTATGCTGGGAAATGACAGGAAACTTGGAATCATGGGATTGACACTTAATGATCTTTTTGCCGAGATGGAAATGATGAAAGAGGATGTGAAATATAAAGTCACAATGTCTTATCTTGAGGTATCTTTTCTCCTACATGTATTACTGCTAATGGTTTTTTTATTGGTAAAAGATTGCTGYTGTTTTATAAGGCTATTAGTATAAACATGGTAGCTAGTGAACCTGTGGCACTTATTCTGTTATTGAATTGGAACTTGGTAGTGTTTTATTYAATTGTGGAGGGAGGGAATTTCGAGAACCCAGAAAACTTTTTTTTAATTCAAGGGCTTTTCTTCATGAACTCCAGTTTTCCTTCCCCATCAAAATCTAACATTCCATGTTCCAATTCGATCTGCGAGTTAGCTGTGTCCAGACTTAGATCAGCCTAGAGGTTRTTTCAGGGTTTGATCTGTGAGTTAGMTGTCCTCTGACTTAGGTCAGCTCAGAGGTTGTTCCAGGGTTTGATCTGTGAGTCAGCTATGCCCTGACTTTGGTTGGCTCAGAGATTGTTTTAGAGATTGATAGAATTTGAAGGGTTTTTTTTTTTTGAGGTTTGATTGACCCTATAACRAGTAATAAATTGCCAAGTAGAAGCCCATTGGTAGCATGATTCAACAAGTTTTTTTAAACTTCAAAGCAAATGTTTGACAATTTATTTCTCTTAGATTTATAACGAAATGATTCAAGATCTTCTGAACCCTTCCACTGGAATCCTTGAGCTGAGAGAAGATGCAAAAGGTGTCAATGTTACTGGTCTATCTGAGGTTGAGGCTAAAACCACCAGTGAGGTATGATTCAAAATATTTCTTATAATACTTCATATTTAAGTAATGAGATTCAAGTGAGTATGAATCTGAGAAAATCCATGCTAAAGTTTCATGCAAATGAGGAAAATTCTGTATCTGATTTAAGGTAGAGCCTAAATAGCAAGCAGTTTATTCAAATTGATATAATATCAAAATATCAAATGATAATAGAATAAGATAAATTTTCTGAATCCATTACATAAGTGCTATATATCAAGGGCGATTCCAGGGAGGGCAATTTTTTAAAATCATTTTCCATTGTGCTGAGGGAAGAAACTCAATTAGCCTCCCCTAAACTCAATTAGCCCCCCCCCCCCTAAATTTTTTCTGGATCCGCCCTCGTATATATAGGTTCTCCCATCTGATTTACAGACTCCTCCTGGGTGACCGATTTCTATTCTGTTTTTCCTCATGAATTATTCACAATTTGACAAGAAACCTTGGATATCTTAGATCAGGCAGTACTTTTATGGACCAGTTATTTCTACTAATCTTTATTCTATACTTTATTTCAGGTTATGGGGATGTTATTGATGGGYAATAAGCAGAGAACATCAGAACCAACAGCAGCCAATAAGACTTCTTCCAGATCACATGCTATTCTACAGGTGTGTATCTACCTTTCTTGCAGGCAATGCACTGACCAAGGGAACCACACTTGCTRCTTAAAACAAGTGTGTGTGTCTGCTCAGCAGATAGCACACTCACCAACCAAGCCATATTTGCTTCTTAAAACAAGTGCGTGTGGTCACTGAGGATCAAACTATGGACCTCTTGCTTAGCAGGCAGCACACTAACCAACCAATCCACATTTGCTTCTTAAGACAATGTGAGGTCACTGAGGATCAAACTATGGACCTCTTGCTTGGCAAGCAGCACACTAACCAACCAATCCACATTTGCTTCTTAAGACAATGTGAGGTCACTGAGGATCAAACTATGGACCACGTGCTTAGTACAGTAGGCAGCTTACTAACTAAACAAGTAGTCACTGAGGATCAAACTATGGACCACTTGCTTAGTACGGTATGCAGCTTACTAAGTAAACAAGCACCACTTGCTCCTTAAAACAAGTGTGTAATGTCACTGAGGATCAAACTATGGACCTCTTGCTTTGGGGCTTTCATTTATTAGTGCATTGGAGGGGGGAGGAGGGTCGACAAAATCACATGAAAAGCTTTACAAACATAAACACCCTCTCCATGTAGAGGCAACAATTGCATAACCCCACATTTACCAAAATAACGTTACCCCCTACAATTTTGTTGACTTCCCATGTCTTAATAGATGAAAGCCCCCTTAGCGAGCAGCAGACATAGCCCTTGCCTGAGACGTTTTCAAGAACTAAATCTAATATTGTATCACATTTGAATACTTATTTTAATTCATATTTTTCAGGTTACTGTAAAACAAAAAAGTAGAGTTGAAAATGTGATTCAGGAAGTAAAAGTTGGCAAGCTGTTCATGATTGACTTGGCAGGATCTGAGAGGGCAGCACAAACCAAGGTAGGGAAATTCACATGCTGATAAAATAGTGGGAAATTAAAGAAATACTTAAGCAAAAATAATAATGAAAAGGTTTGAAATACTCCTTGAATTTTGAGAATTTTTAGCCATTTTAAACTGTGGAATATTGCATATATGCAATAAATGGGAAATAAAGAAATACTTAAGCCAAAATAATAATGAAAAATATTCCTTGAATTTGGAGATTTGTACACCATTGCAGAAACTGTGGAATATTGCACATATGAAATAAATGGGAAATTTAAAAAAACTTAAGCAAAAATTATATTCCTTGAATTTTGAGATTTTTTTGCCATAGAAATATCATGGAATATTGCACATATACCCTGACATATTCTTAAGTTTGTACTATTTTGGTGCCGTAGGATTAATTTTTGAATCAATGCATTGTCTGAAAATAATACTAATAAAATTTCGAACTCTTTTTTCCTCATTTTGTTGMACAGAATCGTGGCAAGAGAATGATAGAAGGAGCACACATTAACAGGTCTTTGCTGGCACTTGGCAATTGCATCAATGCACTGAGTAAGCGAAGATAATGATACTTCATAACTCACTAACTTCTGTCAGAAGTTGGAAGTATTTTTAATAAGTGCTTCTATAAGTGCTATTAAGCTTTAGCAGTTGTATCACAGCGTGGAACAGAGCTAGGCTCCAAACTACGTGAAAGCCCAAAGATCAAATTGGAATTTAGGAGTTGATTTTTGAGAGGGGAAGAAAACTGAAGAACTCTGAGAAAACCCTCAAAACACAAGAGAGAACCAACAAACAACACGGACTAGTAACATTGGTGTTGTTTTTCCTGTAGGTGAAAACAGAGGACATTACGTGAACTTCAGAGACAGTAAACTGACAAGACTTCTAAAGGTAAAAACAGTTTGGCCAATGGATGATGAACCTCAAAAAAAGAAAGTTTGGGAAGATTAAAAGATAGAAAAGAAGAAAAGAGAAAAAATAGATTTATAGAAAGAGATAAAAAGGAAAATTGAGAAATGCAGCCAAAGAATGAATGAATGGGCACATCATTCAAGGAAATGACTGAATGAATGAATGAATGAATGGTTGAATATAAAAAAAAAGAGTAAATGGAAACGATGACACTTGACAGTCGCATGTTAACTTTTTTTGCTTGTTACCCAAATTTATGAGTTTTTTTCTCAATTTTTCAGGATTCACTTGGTGGAAATTGCAAAACAGTAATGATTGCACATGTTAGCCCAGCAGGCAAAGGCTTTGAAGAGAGCAGGAACACGTTGTTATACGCGGATAGAGCAAAGAACATCAAGACTACCGTGAGTCTTATGTACTGTTGGATGTCGACACAAGAATTTACCACATAACAACATGCACACCACATTACACCACATTACACCACACTGCACCACACCACACCATGCCACATCACACCACCCACAGGACACTACACTATACCGCACCACATCAGACTACACCACATTACACCACATCTCACCACACTACACACATCACACTACACCATCCCACATACCATAACACCACCCACACTTTACCATACCACATCTTGCCACACCATAACACGCCACACTGATTACCAGCACTACAACATACTACACCATGCTACACCCTTACACCATACTACACCATACTACACCGACACACCATGCTACAGTATTACASTACACYACATAATATGGTCTTTTATTTTGACTTGTATTTTTTGTGGTGATGATGGTGGTGGTGATGTTAAYGATGAAGATAATGATAATGAACAAAATGATGRTGGCAGTAGGYGATGGTGGTGATGRTAACYGTGTTGTAAAGCTCCATCTTTCTGAWTTTTTCCACAGATTAAAAAGAATCAGTTCAACGTATCTTACCACATCGCTCAGTACACCAAYATTATTACCGATCTTCGTAAAGAAATCTTCCGCCTCAAGACCAAGATCGCTGAACAATCTGTGTCAGAGATCGATTCAAATAAAACAACTCTTGAAGGCAATATAAACAGAATATTTTGAATAAATGAACTTCTTGTAAATCAAGGATTATTATAGCGTTAGCGTACTTGCCTCTCACCTCGCATGTGATTAGAGTTTGTTAGGTCTCTCGTGGCATTGATTCGATGGGTTTTCCCCAGGTTCGCCCGTTTCCTCCACGCAAAAAAAACCCAACGCTAAATTCCAATTCCATTGATCAGCCCAGAGTTTGGTCAAAGCTTTTTTGATCGATAATCCATGGTTTTTTTTCCCAGAGCCTTCAGAGCATTCCAAGCACAAAGACCACACAGAAATGAATAGAATACGCAATCAGCTCGTCAGTACCTTCCGTGAACAGATGGAAATCAGGTAGGCCTTTAACTTGAGTGTGTATCGTCATGATCGTCATGTTCGTCATGTGTCAGATCAGGTGGACGACCGAATCCTTGGCTAGTATAGATAGAGGCAAGGAATGCAAACAAAAGAGTTGTGAGAAAGAAGCCATTCCTTTTGAGAGGAGAAAAATAAGAGAACAGATATCTATTTTCTTTCTTTCCCTTACATCTTTTTATTGTACAATATCACTTTTTTCAGACAYAAGTTAATGGAGCTGGAAGACATGGCGATGCAGATTGCTCTAGACACTAATCGATACATGCTGGTGATTGACGAGTAAGTACATGAGATTGACTAGCATGATGAGATGGATAGATGAATTCAAATGAGAGAATAATGGGATGATGAATAAATGGATGGATGAATGRATGGGAGGACGGATGGATGAAGGATAAGTTAGTGGATTGATGGACGGATGCAGGTGAGGATCGATAGATGCATGAATGGATTCAGGGATGGATATTAAAATGAATGAATAGATGAATGGAGAGAGGGAGAGAGGGACAAATGAATGGACAGATAGATGGATCAATCAACGGTTGAATGGATGAATGACTCAAAGAGTGAATAAAACAAATATATGGATGAATGAATGAATAAATGAATCACTTAGCAAATTAAATATACATTTATTAAAGCAAAAAGGAAAAGAAATAAGGGGTAGAATAAATAAAAGAGATTAAACAGAAGAATACAGAAAGAAAAGAGAAGTAAAAAAGTTTTGGCCAAAATTATTTTCCAGTTGTAGTAATTTGTTTCTTCTTGCTGTAGATGGGAACAAGAGAAGGTAAGACGAGCCGCAAAAAACGCAGAAATGGAAAAAGAACGGAATGAGAAGGAATCAGAACAAACAGACCGCCATGTTTATCGCGACCACGACTCCAAAACACTTGTAGATAAGAATGGAAAACCAGCATGGGAAGACAAAGACGATGATGAGGATGACACGAATGAAGACTTGAGCGATAGATCAAACAGTTATGAAGACGTTGAAAATAAAGATCTCGACAGGGAGAAGGATAAAAAGATTCAAGTCGTAGTCCAAGAATCAGAGCCGTTCTCAATGGCTGAACCGGAAGATGTAACTTTTGCTCGMGAAGAAATAAATAACTTGATCGCAGAGGAGAAAAAAGTCTCCGAAATGAAGACTGCGCTTCAAAGCAAGCTTCAGCAAACTCGTAAGGAAGTGGAAAGGCTAGAMGAACAACTTCCAAAGAAAATAAGCAGCGAAGAAAACAGAGAAATTTTGAGTTTAATTTGTAAAGTTCATGAACTGGAAATAACAAATGCTGAGCTACAGAGCCAGGCGCTTTTGAGAGARAATATTCTACGCTACAAAGATTTAGAAGTGAGCAAATATGARTCAAGGCAAAAGTTATGTGATGAGATAATACAAATGCAACGAGCAGTTATTACTGGTGAGTTCTAGAAACCTCATTGTCTCATGATTGGGTGTTTTGTTTTTGGCGGGAAATAATGAAGGTCCCGTATGCCCGCAAGCGTTTGCATTTTTCGTTACCACTTATTTCTGTTACCAGGGTTAGAAAGAGAAATATTGGGCTAAAATTAATATCTAATATAAAATCTTTTGGCTTTTTTCCCTAAACGCACAAGTCAATTGCCCAACAGAACTGGAAGGATTGTACGARGTTTATCTTCAACAGTCTTCTGAAACAGATGAACGAGACAGTCTCAAYTCTTCTGGACCTGAATCCACTACATCGAGTGCTGGTCCACAAATCAGTGTAAATCGGGTAAGACAAAGGAAAAAATTCGCGCAGCATTTGTTTTTGTTATTTGGAAGGTTCTTTGTGCATTTTTCATTAAAAAAATGAGCATTAAAGATGAAGTGTTCGGTTTACCGACCCTCGTCTTCAAACCATTCTGTTTTTGTTATCGTTTTTGTGTCATCTTTGCAAACTTTTATAATATCATGGTATAAGCTTCGTTAATACAAGCTAACATATGCAGTATGGACATTGATAACACAGCGCATGTCTAAAACACTTGTTTAAGCCCGCGTTACCTCATTCTGAAGCGCTTGAATGCGAGGCTACGCAGGCAGAACCTATTGTTCAAGCCAAGGTGTCTGACGYGTGTGAAAAGGGCCATAGATCGCATCAATAGATATTGTATATATTTGTTAAATTTATTCTTTTGTTTTGTGTAGGCAGCARTTCTTGCTGGAATTAATCGTCGGATGACGTCACGCGAGAATCTCTGTGAGTAGAACCCTTAACTTYATTTTCCTCATAACACACGTATTCAAAAAAACACTTCGACACTTTCCATGTAAAGTCAACCTTATTTTTTCCTCTATTGCATTTTTCTTCCAGTCACATTTACGAGCAAGCTTTCTCCYTTGACGGAAGAGACGCCGTCCCGATTGGTGTCGTTGCAAAACTCACCAACAAAGACATCGCGCCCAACACCCTCGACTTACAACACTTTCATGGAAAACGCTCTTGCCGAATCRAGGTAAGCTTGATATCGAGCTGTGTACTTCGTTTAAAGAGAATAAATTTTTGGCCCTTCGTTAAGTACATTTCTCAGGAAAGTCTAAGTTTGAAARTCGGATTTACATATTTTTAATTTGTATACGAGCATGCGCAGACGTTCTTAAAGTCCATTTGTTGACTCGTATGGTTGATTTTTCCAAACAGCCCCACATCTCCTGYGCATACTCCAAAATACCGATCACATGTCTCATCGCCCGATGACATCAGTATTCGAAGTTCTTTGTTCCTGACCACGCCCAAGAAACCTCACAACGATACCGAGAACCACGCCCCCTTAACACCAGTCTTTTCAAAGACACAGAAATTCACCGACCTCTCTACCCGTCGGCGCATCATGATGGAGAAYGGTTTAGTCTCTAGTGGTAGCCTTCGCGAAGATCTTGCGTCTTCCAAGATGTCKTCTTTGGTGTCTGTACGAGAGAAGGARCGTGAYAGACCCATGGCGTCCGTCTCGGATACTAGYCTTGAAGTTAACAGCAATAAACAAGCMGTCAATCCTTCTTTAAGTCTYGGGGATCTCTCGWTGATCGATAAGAAGTCTTCTGATCAAGTTTCGGTGGACTCGGTGCCAGTTACCCGCAGAAGAATCGCCAAGAAGGGGAAAAGTGAACAAGGAAAGATATCGAYTCCAACAAGACCGACCAAAAGACAAAGATCAGCCTCTCTCGATGATGCCAAGGTTCACAGAGGTAAGACTATTTAGTACCAAGTCCACTCTCGGTTTTTGCTGGCTGCGTGAACTGGGTTAAACTTATTGTACTGCGCTTGCGCTAATTGACAAGCCAGTTGTTTTAGCACGTTAAAAAAAAGGTTTTTACTAATCTTTCTTTCTTGAGACTGGACTATTCTTATTCCTAAAATAAATGCCGGCTTCTTTTCAAATATCTTTATTTTGTTTTAAAATAAAAAATCTCCGCTTTGTAAGCTTCCGATACAATTCTTTCTCCGGAATATCTTTGTATGATGAAGGCCTTATTTTTAAATCCTACTTCCTCAATCCGTTCAGTAAARCCAAGAAGAACACGCAAAAGCCAGCAAGAAGCATCAAAGCTACACCGCCCCAAACACCAGTTCCCAAGCAAGATCCGTGAACGAGTAAGCCTGGGACTTGAGGCCTCGAGTCTCGCAGGGAACACCAACAGTAAAAGATCTAACATCCCGAAGGCACCTGTACATTTCAACGACATCCCACGAGGGGTTGCTCGAAGCAAGGATCAAACCAAACAGTCCCGCATCCAAAGCAATGACGTTCAAGATGGTATGCAATGCATGATTCTTTACTTTACTTTTCCAGGGCAGGTTTCATTCTTGGCCTTGATATTGAGTRACATAAAATTACACGACTCTGATCATAGGCACAATCTTACGTGACATACTACCAAAACTGCATGGACACTTTCTACTTTGCATGGATAATTACYAGAAATGAATTATAAATTTAGCTAATATGAAGCTTTGCATAAGATCACGTGTTAACTTGCTAAGTCACAAGACCAACATACCAGGGCTTTTTTCCGGAAATAAGCATTCGGCCACTATAGCGCATGGGGCAAGAACATGTGATATGTACCTAAACATCAYGTGACCCTACSCATCACGTGACTGGAAGACCAATAGTAAGCAATTATTCTTAACTCGATATTTTCAATAACAGGTGAGCTCCAAACTTTTGTCAGCAATGTCACCCCCACTTCTTCAGTGCGACAAATCGGGACACCACCCGGCAAGGGACTCACAATTCAGAGGAGATATYGCGCACCATCAGATATCACGGGATCAGATTCGAACCAGTCTACACCGAGGGTAAAACCCCGAAAGCAACAATCTGTGGGAAATCCTCCAGTGGACGCGTTATCTGTGAGTGGCGTTGCTATGCGACCGACTAAACCATATGCRGGGATACGTAGATTCTRAGAGTTATCGTGAAATATTCTCGAAAAGAGAACTATGGCCCTGGAGGAAGACTGGAATGAGTTCCAGTCTGCGATATTGTCCTTCGGCATTACCCCAACAGAAAGAAACATCTCTAAGTGCATGCAGTATTTATCTTATTTCTAAGAAATCTGAAACACCATACGTCAAAGAGAATSCATCATCTTGGAACGTTTACCTCAGGATAATAGTGCGCATATTTTACCAGAGAATCATGTTGCATGATCATGAGTTGAAACTACATCTGAGAACAGCAGAAAATCATGTGCCAAAAATGTAATAACAATGTAAAATTATAAAATATATAGATCTCCGGATTAAATGGCATGAATCTGTTTGCACAGTTAATCGAGTTATAATAACCTTTTAAGTTCTTGCCTCGACTTTTATTGACTGTAATTTATCAAAATAGTATYGTATATACGGTATATCACTTCATGGTGAACCTTTTCCGTGAAAAGGCACATCATGACGAGTGCTCATTTATTATRATGAATTAAAGGAGCAAATAAGTCGTACATTTGGTTTGTAATCATTTTCGAGAGATTGTCGTAACGAAAGGCAAAATATATTGAGCACTAGATCTTTTTAGCTTGGTATGCAAATTGCCCATTTCAGATCACATGACCTTCCCGTGAGAATTGTTCTTTTATGATGAACATGTTAAAATATGAACACGTGAAACAATCAACTCCCAAAGTTGGCATCACATTGAATGTGGAATGTGCACAACAAACAATGAAACTAAAAAGGTCTATAGGAATGGAAAAATTCACTTTCAGTTTACATTCTACCCTTCAGAAGTACATTTGTGTAGTTACATTTAGCCTTGTCTAATGGCAGTATAATCTTTTTTTCGTTCCTCTTTATAGATTTTTCAGCTTCTTCTGTCGTCTTGAATGTAACCTGTAGCTGTCTTTTACCGTCTTGCACTTTGSTAAACAACCTGACGTTTTCTATGTTTTCTTCTCGTTCATCAATTTGATCGGCAATGGATTTCTTAACATCGTCTGGACTTAAGGTGCAGCCCTCTGGCGGTGCATCATGGAAGAGAATTTTAACATCCACACAAATTTTCGGTGTGGCGACTCGCTCCCCTGTTCCAGATTCTCCTTTACTCCCTCTATGTCCTTTTGGTCCTATAGGCCCGGTTTCTCCTCTATCYCCCTTAGAACCTCTCCATCCTGTAAAGCAAATAAATTTAGCRAATTGGTTTGGGAATCAAAGTTCATTTCCTGGACCCGGTATTACAACTGAGAGGAAATTGTTTACAAGTCTCCTCCTTGATCTCGGAGTTCAAATGTTTGGTCTGGCCAATGGTTGTTTCAGGGTTCGAAAAAGTTTACCTTTAGCTCCCTTCAGTCCTCGCGGTCCAGGTTCTCCCATCAGACCTGGTGATCCAGGATTCCCCTTTGTTCCTTGATTTCCTTTTAGTCCTCTTATTCCTCTTGGACCCATATCTCCTTGGTCGCCTGTAACATTGAACRGAAGACCAAGAGCTAGTTTTCTATTCTTTTAGCGAAACCCTCTGTTMTTCATCGTATGAGATTGTTCTCTAAGAAAATTCTTCGATTAATGTTTCCTACCAAGAGAATATTTTGTTGGCTTACCTGTATTTCCTTTTGCTCCTTTCCTTCCTTCCACTCCTACATTTCCTTGTATACCTGTATTACCTTGAATCCCTTTGTCTCCTCTGTTTCCTTTTGGGCCTTCAGGTCCTCTTTCACCTTTATTACCTATAGGACCTCTAGAGCCAATCTCGCCTTTTTGTCCAATTGGACCAATTGGACCGATTGGACCAATTCTTCCTGTGTTCCCGGTTTGCCCTCGAGGTCCCAAAGGACCTCGATATCCAATTGGTCCTTTGTCTCCTTTTATTCCTGTTTCTCCTTTATCTCCCTTTGTTCCTTCAGGACCAATGGGACCAGCGTTTCCTTGTTCACCTTTCTTACCTGAAGAACCTTTTGGTCCTACCCCTCCTTGTGGTCCCTTAGGACCTGTATTTCCGGTATGACCTTGCTTGCCCTTGGTTCCTTGTGGCCCTCGAAGACCCCTTGATCCACTCGCTCCTTGGTTACCCTTTTCACCTAAACAGTAATGTGGCATTTAGTAATCACAAGCCCCTTGAATTATAATATGAATATTTAATAAATGTACTGGAAATGGATAAACAAATTTTAGTGTAACCTTTCGTTCCAGGATTTCCATCAGTGCCTCTTGATCCTACTTGCCCTTCTTGTCCTTTTGATCCTGCTTCTCCTTTTATTCCTTTCTCTCCCGTGGCTCCTGCTACTCCATCTGCTCCAGGAGTTCCTTTCTCTCCTTTGGCACTTTCTCCAGTTTGACCCTTTGTTCCTTGGATTCCTTTGTCTCCCTTGGGTCCACTTCTTCCTAAAATCATAGAGTTAACGTTAAAAAAGGTAATGTATCAATTGAGGGCTTTGTAATTTGCAGTTTGAGGAACGCAAGTCTTCGAAATTACTAGGGAGATGAACAAATGACAGAAAAGAAGATGC